CCAGTTATACCACTGCGTGTCAGCTTAATGTGGGAGGAAAGCCCGAAGTGATGCAGGTCTCAGACGTTTACCACTTCGATGAAACCCACGAGCACGGGCATGGTGCTTACAAACCTAGAAACATAATCGGGGCGAACCGGGATTCGAACCCACGATCACAGGCTTCTGTCATGCCGAAGGGACGCAACTCTGCACAGCGAATTGCGGCGCCTTAGACGACTGGGCCACCCGTGCCCCCGCGGGTGGCTAAAAAATGAAACAAACAAGAAATGGTTATTCGATGGTGAATATTTGATATCCGGGTTTGTAGTGTTTCGGCGACTTTTTTCAGCATAGTAACGTTTTGATAACGTTTGTAATTTGTTATTCAAATCCAAGTTTCAAGTGTATACAGTAAACTACGTTTATAACGAACACGCTTATAATGAACTGATGGATATAACGAACTGTTTTTTATCCTGTCCATTTGCTGTATATATTCCGTACATTTGCTTATAACGAACTACGGTTATAACGAATTAAAATTAGTGGTCCCTTTGAGTTCGTTATAACCGTAGTTTACTGCACTTTCTTTTGCCCGGCAGTTTATATTGACTAAGTAGGTTATTTAAGCTATAAACCAACGGGCACGTCAGTTGACGATGGAGGAATTATATTGGCTTGTTATGCAATTACGACTGCGAATCTAGCATATTAGCCTCCATCCTTGCTCAGATCACAGTCTGTCCAACAAATATAGCCGAGGCCATCATCTTGAAACAACACCTGCCTTCAATCAGAAGAAATTTTATTGGAGGAGTTGGGTTGATTTTATGATGCAGATAACAGCTGCACCCACCATATTTATAATGAGGTGGAATGAGCTGTCAGCTGGGGGATAAAGACACCCAACATAGACAAAGGAAAGGATGATTTTATGAGGGGGATAAATCATCCATCATCCTGAATCTATTATGCAGATGATGACTGACTTTGAAAGTAGACTACACACCCATAGTTGTTGTATTCATTATATACAACTCAAAAGAAGTTAAAGAACACCCGATTTCTTTCATGTGACCGTGAACAGTTGAATTGTAATCATAAGAAATAAATCGGATGTTCTTTAACTTCTTTTAAGTGGTATATAAGAACATCAAGATGGGTATAGTCTACTTTTCCAACGTCAATTAAAGAACACCTGATTTTTTCATGTGACAACAGATCAACTATAATCATAAGAAAAAATCGGTGTTCTTTAACTTCTTTTGTGTAGTATTCATCACATTCATATATACAATGCTAGACAGCTGTATTCCTTTATTCCACGAAAAGCATTTCTATATGATATTTATATGACGATGTATAAGTAAGGAGTACGGCGTATTTCACTACCCCTAACAATCGTCGAGTAGTATAGTTGAATGTATGTATGTTTCTGCTTCATACACATCGTAGAATGTTGTTGACAGGGAAATATGTGAGGATTCTCTAGGGTGAATCAGTGATTGAGATGGGTCTGACGCGGCATTCAACAGTAGTTGTATTGTATGACGGCGTGGCAGCGTGGAGGAAAGCCCAAAGGAGCACAGGTCGTAGACGTTTGCCACTTGAAACCCACGAGCATTGCTTTGATGCAGACCAACGATCGGGGATCTTATGTACTGTGAACTGTTGAAGACGTTCAACAATACTCACATGTATTCAAGACATGCGTCTATCCCAGAGCTGTCACCACGATCTGACGATTTGAGAATTCACAACATTGACTTTGTTGATGTTCAAGTAATCAATGCCTGCTAGAATGACTTCATTAAAAATACAGAAAGGACGAGTTCTAGATTCATGTGTGAGAGAAGAGAGGACATCAATACATGAGATTAAACAAGGTAGAGAGTGCAGTAATAGAAGAGTACAATAATAGAAGAGTACAATAATAGAAGAGAGTACAATAATACAAGAGAGTACAACAATAAATGAAGACATATATAGAGAGGACATTCTTCTACGCTTAGCATGAGGGCACACATGGTCAGGTGCTTGAGTGTTGCGGCGTTGTGTCATGTCATTATGGACATCTTAATGGGACCAGTTATTGATAATTCTCTTTCGGATATCGACGTAAAATGTTTCAGTGTAAGTGCACCTAACGGAGACCACTTACTGCAGATTCCGAATAAGTCCCAACTCACTCCAAGTGTTAAACTGATTAACCATATTTCATATCTTTTACCAATGTCGATATCCATTTTTAGATTTTCCTTCCAAAGGCCTTTTGCGATGCTGTTGTAATATTCACGTAAACACACCCTACCGTAAACAACCCACTGGTGTCTTACTTGAGACATGAACGACGAGTGGGAGTTGTTTATCTAACAATAAAATGGTATTGTTTTATTGTACGATAAACAATTTATGTCTTGTATGAGATATCAATATCATGTACAGCCTCTTTAAGGATGTTGATAAAATGTACAAGCTTTTAAAATATTTACCAAATTTTAATAATGATGACTTCGTGAATAGAATCCGACCTCGGAAATGTCGGAAAGTCCATTTTACGAACTGGGGGGTTAAGTTTGGTATTTCCAACATATTCTCACAATCCTCAAGTCGATCATCTGTTCCTTTTCACCTATTACCGATTGTCATATCTCTCCCACTTTTGGATGCGATCGTTTGGTCACCGCGTTTATCTGCGTAGCCCATCTACATCTATGGGAACAACGTTCTAGACAGTACCATCTCAAAAATAACGTCCTCCAATATATGACACCATCAAGTTCCGAGGGCATATTCGGTTCTCCAGAAATGACGTCGTGATAGAACAATGATTTATCGTGAAACAAACCCGCTTCGTTCTTCATTGTTCTTTGCGATTTACCTTATATAGATATCTTATATTTCCCTCTGTCCCGCTGTACTGTAATCAACAATTCATATTATTCACACAATAGAGGCACAGCCTCCAATACGTGCCACATACATTACCACGACTGGGTAATTACCCTAAGGATATACTCCTCCATCAAATATAGCAACAAAATAACATCTCTTAGTATTGATTTCTATATATATAAACTGACAATCAGATTATAAACAAGCAATCGACCGACTACCGTTGTAGTATTAATATACGTTAGCGAATAGCTCCATGACGCATCTGTGAGAACGTCCCGCAATGGCAAGGGGATGGTATGAACCGGTTTCCGTGGTAATAAGGCTGTGCAGACAGAAGTAACCGATGTATTAAACGTCCCGTTTCATAGCACAGTAAACAGTTTCTTGTATATGAAGCGACATCAGACGAAAGGGTGTTTCTAAAAATTGCTCAAAAAAATTCTGCTAAATTGGTTTTCTTTTTTGGGCCATGCTTTGACGTTTATCTGTGTCTCCGTCGGTGTTAGCTCATTTCAGTTTTGGAGAGTTATTGATCAACGAAGCCTGTCTCTTCCTCACTGCAGTTTCACAATAATGGACATATATATGTGTTTCTTGTTCTTCTGCTGATGACTTTCGTTCGTGTAAGGTGACAGGTCGTTTAAAGAAATGATGTTAAGTGAAGCGTCATTTCAAATAAACTCTCAAACATAATTACTCTCCGTTTCATTTATGCCAACAATCCTATAGGCGGGTCAAAAGAGGGTTGTAAAAACGTTGGTTTGATGGGAATAAATGCAGAGACCATGTTCCCCTTGCTTCTACCTCGTGTTTCAAATTTCAAAAGCTTTCGCTTTGCAATCAGCCACCATTCTATCCTAAAGAGCCCCCGTCAATGAGGCGGACTCAGGGGTAGAACCGACTAGGTTCAGCGCCTCCAAGGACGTTTTAATCATATTTATTTTGCTCAGAGGTTTATATCTCTCTGCTGACACGATCTCACAAACCTCCACCACTAACTGCTTTAACGTCAGTTTAGTCTTCAAAACACAGACGAGGGTGCACATGTACATATCCTAATACAGCTAATCATTGAAAATATTGTTATTGACCTGGTTACGCCTTCACTGCTGGTCTCTGGCAAATAAGAGAAATCAGGGCTGCTCCAAGATGTCCACTCACGCATCACCAAGACTGTCGCTACCTGTTGTAAAGTGTTTTGAGCTGCCGAGTAGACGTACGTATTGTTGCATGTGTTGAAGACGAAGCATGAGACGTGGTCGATGTAGACTTTAGTACCGGATATTTACATGTCAATTCGACGTTACTATCGCCTGTCTGCTGGCGGGCCATAGCCCGTCCATCTATGATTGTCGACATGTTCTCTGTGAAAGGGGTTCTTGTTGGAGCTCTTCGGGATGGCTACGTGGTCTTTAGAGTTAGCGAATAGAGTTGAGGCGGTATTTAGGAGGTATTTAACATGTATTTTACAACTCAGGTTAGGAGATGCTGTATTTCCATCATACTATTTGATCTTGTTATGAATTGTAAAAACGGATTACAAATCGTGAGATTCAGCGATTCAGAAGCAATTTGATAGCGATGAGCTGTATCAGGTTTTTGATAATGTTTTACTTGACGTTAGTTCATAATTATTTAATAGTTTGTACTTATTTTGATAAGATTTGTGTTAATCCTTGTATAATCGTTGTTCTGTGGGCTGTTACTGGGCGAAATGTTACTATATATGAGAATTCAGTTTTATGATGTTATGCTTTTGTAATATTATGGCAAATACATGTACATTTTAAGGCCCCGTTTTAAGGTCCCGTTTTAAGGTCCCGTTTTGTTGATGAATATGTACATCAATTATAGTTCTCATGTTGCGGGATTATACCTTAGCAACACATGCAGTGAATGGGTACCCGGTAGGAAGTGATGGCAATGTAGATTGAAAACCTCAGCAGAACAGTTTCGTTAATTAGTATCATCCCCTGGAGATGAGAATCCACAGTGATCTGGTGACCATGGTAATAATATGCACATTAGTATGGTATCTTTTAAAGTGGTTATTGACACGAGTATCATGTCCTTATTATATTTATTAAAAAACATTGAAACTATTTTTTCTTATTTTGTAGCTGACCCCGCCGGATTAAATATGATGTCCAACAGCAATGTGGGGGAACAGCTGTATATCGGGGACTATATCGCCCTGTATTCCATGGAGACAGAGGGATATATCTACAGTCTTCAGTCCAGGTGAGTCTTTGTGGCAGTATATCGAGGCCAAACAATGTGGTACATGGATACAAAGGAATATTTCCAACATTACAGGTGAGTAGGTGTGGGTGTGGAGCGAGTCAGCCCCTCATCTGTGGATACGTGGGGATATACTACCTGCGATGTACAGTCAAGGTGAGTGTATTGGTGTTATATTAGACCTTGTCGTGGGACACTCTCTGGATACAAATGGCAGGAGACCAGGTGAGTGGACATGGCGCTATATCGAATTCTATATTTCCATGTCGAGTATGGTGAAGGTACTTTTAATGATTTATTGTTTATGGCCTTATATATGGTCTATCTACCTAAGTACTCAGTGTAGAGTGAATTTGAGTGTATATAGGGTATAGTTTCCTATGTACTCCTTGTAAAGTGGATTTGAGTGTTTATGTCGGTATATAGGGTATAGTTTCTTATGTACTCCTTGTAAAGTGGATTTGAGTGTTTATGTCGGTATATAGGGTATAGTTTCTTATGTACTCCTTGTAAAGTGGATATGAGTGTTAATGTCTGTACATAGGGTATAGTGTCTAATGTACTCCCTGTAAAGTGAATTTGAGCGTTCATGTCGGTACATAGGGTATAGTTTCTTATGTACTCCTTGTAAAGTGGATTTGAGTGTTTATGTCGGTACATAGGGTATAGTTTCTTATGCACTCCTTGTAAAGTGGATTTGAGTGTTTATGTCGGTATATATGGTATAGTTTCTTATGTACTCCTTGTAAAGTGGATTTGAGTGTTTATGTCGGTACATAGGGTATAGTTTCTTAAGCACTTCTTGTAAAGTGGGTTTGAGTGTTTATGTCGGTATATATGGTATAGTTTCTTATGGTCTCGTTGTAAAGTGCATGGAGTGTTGTTGGCGGTATATAGGGTATATTTTTCGTTGTACTCTATAGATTATATACTGAACGAATATAGCTGCATTGATTGTGTATGGCGTTACATATGATTACTATTCATATGTCCGTTTGTATTTGGCCCGTCTTGCCCTGTACACAACAGATGTTGAAATCATAAAATGGCCATGATTGTTAATCGCGGCGTATACGGTTTGTATTGCCAGGATACGTTTGGATATACGTAGTCTGTTGTATGTGAAGGATGGCATTTATGACTATATGTTGCATTGTACCCTGTGATGATTGTATGCCATGTTTTGTGGCATTATATAACAGCATCCCAATTTTCTCTCTGGAGTCGGATTGGTTGAATTCTTAAACAAAGGTGAGTAATGACCAACTACCAAGGATCGTATTGTGGTTTCTTGTGACAGGTATATTGAATGCATGTTGATTTTATATGTTCATACCATTTGGAATGCATATTGAGTACCCGGATTTACATACCCACAGCGGGTATGGTCTGGACTAAAATTATGAGTACATACATATGAGTACATACATACATGTATATGCATATCAGGTGTACACATGTGTACAGTAGATGTACACACGGGTGTACAGATATGCAAACATGGACATGTTGGTGTGGGCTGTATGTCATTGTGTTGTAACTCATTCAGATAAGGAGTATTGTGGTGCATTCTCACCAAATGAAGGAAACTTCAATATTCTTTGAATATTCGGTGGCTATATTTATTTGTCTCGGAATGTGTTACAGTGTTACAGCCACCACACACTGGTTTACTGTATGCAGTAGCAGAGCGGCACTTAACATGCAATAATTACACACTGCCATTGTTTTGCATTTGAATGGAATGAAGTTGACTGTATGTTCCAATGGGGAGAACTTGATTGCGTTAATGGTAAGATGTGCCCCGAAATGTTGGTAGCAATCATCTTAAAATCAGAACATGTTGTGTATCACGTGAACTGGAAACTCATTAGACCATGTGACACACAGGGTCAATCCCCGTCCCATGTGTCAATACTTACAGTATTGTCATTGTCGCTTGTCGTTGGAGGGTAGTCCATTCAATCAGAATGGCATTACCGGAAGAGCGATATTCCCATAGCAACACTTTTATCATTCCTGGAGTCGGGCTTCTGAGACCATCAGTGACACATATAGACGTACCTTTTTGCACTACAGGGGCGGATGGTTGGCATAGTGGTTAAGGTGTTTGTTCGTCACGCTGATCAACGGGGTTCGATTCCCCTCATGTGTACGATTTGTGAAGCTCATTTCTGCCCCCGCCGTGATACTGCTGGAGTATAGTCCAAATTGGCGCAAAACACAACTCACTTACTGGTCAAATCCAGATTCTCCAGATTATGACCCTTCGTATGTCAATGCATTGACCAAAGAGGTGATATATACGATTAAAGTCATCTTTGACTTTCATCCAATATTAAGCTGATCCGCTATGATTTAATTGACAAGAACCTACTCACTTACGCACTGTAGCATTTCATGATTGATCCGCTGTAACTTCGTGAATAATGATCCTGTGTTACTATTCGTCGAACGATTGGGTAGTCCAGTGGTAAAAGGGTTCGCTCATGACACAGAAGATCTCGGTTCGAATATACAAATGGTTCAATGTAGGAAGCTCGCTCTCGTGTCCACCGCCGTTATGTCTGTTGCTAAAGCGATGTCTTTGCTTCCCAAAGAAAGATATATTTACATTTTGAAAATACATACGTAAATCACCAAGATATGTTCACTCAAGTTATGTACAAACTATTAAGTCAGTAGCCATCTTTATCAAACACATGTTTTATAAGATTTCAAAGAGTTGTTAATTTAGCAAATGCCCTGACAGTCACGTGACTACCAACTTTATTTTGTTCATTGAATTGGGCCACAAGGGCGTAATACTAAATAAACACGTATGTCCGTCTGTCTGTCATAGAAACCTCCTCTCCCACAGCAACGAGTGATTGCTGTTAAATCTCCCCTTGTATTTTAACACTGCATGACGTGTTATTGGTATCCCCTAAACATTGCATTCAAATACTCCAGCACCACTGACCTAGAGTCCACACCGTTACTGGGACATACTGCGAACTGTAGGGACTAATGCAGAGTACATTCTGACTGCAGGGATGTTAATTATATGGTATTAAGTACAAGGTATTAAGGCTTAAGCCGGTACTACTGGACTCAACTCCCGAGAGATGTCAATGTTGACGTGACATTGCATTATGGGAGTTGGGCATGACGTCAGTTCCTACTTTAACACAAGTTCAAACTTATCTGTCAGGTCAAATTTATTTCATCTGATAATTGCCTCCAGGCAAAACACAGTGTGATGGGGTCAATGGTTTTATGGGACGTTTGCATTTTGATCAACCTGAACTCTAAAACAACTCCAGGAATGACCTTAGACAAGATGACAAAATTACAAACTGAATACTTGTTAATACCGTTAAATAAAAAATCTGATTTGAGTTCTCTGACCTCTGTTCAAAGTGACATTTGAAAACTCACAATTTATTTTTCAGATGGTATTTCAGAAGTTGTTCACCATCATTATTCTAGATTGGCACAGTGCCACCGTATCGCCAACTGTCCCAAATACGTCAACAATTTCTGGGAGTTATACCCGATAATTAAAAAAATCAAGGATCGTGGCATGATTTCATATTCGTTATATTGACAAGCAATCAAATAATTCCATTCATCACCAAATCAATACCAAGTGTAAGCTCGGGGTGTTTCTACTCTCAGAGAGTTATGAGGAAGTAGTTGCCATGTTCTTGAACTGCTGTGGAAATATATGAATGCTGATGATGAATGCAGCTGATCAAGGAGGGAATTATCCGGGTGTGTTAGAACGCCCAATGGACACTATAGCTTGTACATGCACTACTGTTATTATACAGCGACTGTATCAATACACCGTTGTGTGGAGAATTGAGAATGGTGATCGTGTTGGAGTGACATACTTTTAGCGCTTAAATACACAGAGGCAAAAGTATCTGTAATGTATATAGGTATCTATATAGATTTATTGCTAACTGGTCATTGATTGTTCTTGTGATGATATGGACTGTATGGTTCTACAGATTGACGTTTTAACAGTTTACACAGGTAATCACTTGTCATGACAGCCATGTTAGTTTAATGCCGTTTGACGGTGAATTGGGTCAGAACGAAGCCACACCGTAAAATGTGCTGTCCTCTTCTTCAGAACATCAACTGTCGTGGCTGTATTTGAATTTGAAATTCTAAAATATTTTGATTGATAACTTTTAAAATCTTTAGAAGGTCATGTGGGCCATCTTCAGTTCAAATAAACAAGAGTTCTCTTTAATTTTTTTAATCAAACTGGAAGGGGTTCTGATTAACGTGTTTCTAAACATCAGAACGTCAAAGAAGAACATTATCAGAACAGTCTCTTTAACCTTTGATGGTTTCCTATCTCAATAACTCACCGTGGTGGGTTTCGTTTCGCTATCTATTCATAGAATATATTTGTATCATATTCCCAATACATATTTAGACAGCCTTGTTGTTCCGTAAGAGTTTTGCAGCTATGCTGTTGCTCGGTATGTTCAAGGATTTAAGCTGTAGTTTTTTAAACATTAATTTGAAGAATACCCGATGGTTGAATGATATATGGACATGCCAAAAGAAAAGGATTGACCAATTACGTTCCGAAGCCCATCGGTGATTTAAAAGGCTTCTGCTTAAAATATATATAGCTGCATTCAATACAATCTGGTATTGTTCCTAAGCCATCGTGATATTGCAGAAACAAGTTACACCGAACTCTCTCACGCCCGAAGACCAGTTAGTGTTCCACATGAAAAGACCAAAATAATTTCCGACAAGTGTATATCTCTACAGACAGTAATGACCATCTATAAATACAATATGCACTCAGCCGAAAGACCAGAGTTTCGTCCAAAGACCAATAACGAGATCGGCAGGAATCAAATTCTGTGTATTGAAGACCCATGGATCTTCCGGATCTAACAATTGAAGACCACTCAGTCAGAACCATATTGTTCCTGATTTCCCTGGGGGAGTTGGGACCAGCGAGTGTTGACACAGTTGTCATACTG